TTTCAGCTACTGGGCATGGCAAGAACGCCTGCGGTGGGATTGGAGGCCTCGTCAAATACCATACAACTTTTTTTAATATCCGAGGGCCTGCCACATTAGCTATTAAGTCTGCTTTTGATATGGTGGAAGTCCTCAAAACAAAATTACCGAATGTTGCACTAATTCACGTGCCAAGGCCGGACGTGCATGTGTTCGGGAAAAGGAAAACGAGACACTGAGATTCCGTCCGGCCCGTGCCTGGAATTCGATCCTGGTACTTCTGGCAGTGCACACGCGGCAACCCACTGAAGCACCAATTGCTGGTATCGAGAACGGGAATGTCTACAAATAAGCCACTTCGGAAATAAATACTTGTTTACACCAGTATCTGTGAGCAGTGTAGTGCAAGCGGCTACAACAAATAATATTAAACAAATCTGATGACAAGCAATTATAAAAACAATTTAACACAACGGGTACCCTTCAGTATTTATCTTCTAATCGCGTTTTACGGCCTGCGAATACATGTTCTATGTTATGGACAATAAAAGCAGTCCAACTCCGTGGTGTGAAACGCTTCTGAGCCTTTATTATCCGTCTGAATTCGACTGCGCACGGAGGGAAAAAACTGGACCCTCGGTTTTGGCCGGCGCGCCCCGCTGTTTACGCCAACGAGCGCCACTAGGGTGGCTCGGCGTCTGTTTGTTTAGGGTGGTGACATTCTTTGTAGAACTCGATGCCTTCAGCACGCGCCCAGAGTAAGAATACAAAGAAATCGCCGAAAACAAAATGTCGTCATTGTTAAGAGCTCGTGCACAAAAATACACAAAAGCGCCAGGAAAGAGATGGTCTATTGTCATCACGCTGAGCATAGCACATACGAAGGTAATTTGCTTAGTGTGGTGCGCGCACTGTTGGCCGCTTGCCTCACAGGCGCCTGCCGGGAGGTCTGGCCGCGTTTCACAGGCACACCGCGGCGGCGGCTCCAATGCCGTGAGGAGGCGCGCCGGTTCCGCCGCGCAATATCATGTTATCCGCCAGGCAAAAGGCTCAGATACACGTATATTAAGCAAAGCCTCTTCGGTCGATTCCATTACGTTGCGTACACAGAGACCCTACGCGGCGGCTATAGAAAACAGGCCCTTCGAGTCATGCGACATGACCGTTAATTTTAGTAGTACCTATCATTAACCTTAATGTGAGCGAGTCCAAAAAGAAAATCGAATATGTCCGTTTTTTAATTGAGCTTCACAATAAATCGTCATTAATAAAAGGCGTTTTTCATAATTTTATTTTACTGCCCAGGCAAACCATATTTAGCGCAGATTTAAAAAAAAAAAAGATACATGTCAACACGCTGGCAACTTTTGAAAGTTGTGCTATTCATAGATGCAGAAAAAAAATTAATATTTTTCGGAATGTGCTATTGCGATTCTTTCTAGAAGTTAACAACGACGATACTTAATCACAAATATTTTGAGTTAATCTTCCTTATACGTAGTTCGTAAGAAAATATTTCTAGGCCAGTAGTCAAAACAGATTTGCTTTGGGAGAGGTGACCCAAATGCAAACTTCGCGCAATTCGCAGAAAGAGCTTCGCACTGAGAGCATGATTCTAATGTTCTCCTCCTCAAACAAAAAAAAAACTTTCGCAAAAAAAAAATAATGCTGGTTTTTACCTGATGGGCACTGAGTCTACAAAATATATATTCGTGAAAATTAAAATCTCCAAACGTGGTCGGCCGAACTTAACACCCCTCTAACCTGGGGACGTTAACGTTCACTACGCAGTAGTTAACACAAACACGCGCTGGCACTAAATTCAACAGAATTGTAGATTGTATACTAAGCTTCTCATGATCTGCAGTTTGTACGAAGTTGACAGTTATGCGTTATTTTCGATATTGAAATTGCTGTATTTTCGTATATTTATTCTGTTTATATTCCTGTTTCTCCCTCCGGCGCTGTAAAAAGGGGCTGGAGCCTCGTGAGAAGACAACTTCTCTTCTTTTGCCCCGGCCAGACCCTTTTGTGTCTGAAACAGAGGATACATCCATACAGATTAAAACTGGCAAGAGGTGGGGATTGAGCCCAGCAGGTTTCGGAGCGCAGGCTTTCACTCCGCGCTCCTTGCTGAGACGCGTTACCTCACTCAACCACCGATCTTTTTTAGAGCACAGCTCTTAAACGCCCGTTTCCGGCTTGAGCGGCGGCGTCGTCGCTGTCGGCGTCGGCGTAACCGCGCGGCGCGGAATGTTTCCGCTAAATTTAGGTGCGCGGCGCGGGGCGCAGCTAAATTTTTTAGCGCGCATATAGCCGCGCGGCGGCGGCGTAACCGCGCGGAATTTTTCCGCTACATTTAGCGGATAAACTTTACGCTAAATTCAGTTGAAAAATTGTCCCGCTAAATTTAGCGGAAAATTTTCCCCGCTACATTTAGCGGAAAAATTTCCCCGCTACATTTACCGGAAAAATTTGCCCGCTAAATTTAGCGGAAGAAATCTCCACAATATTTAGCGGAGTAAATTCGCCGCTAAATTTAGCGGAAAAAATTATTAGCAAAAAAATTTCCTCGGTAAATTTGTCGGAAAAATTTTCCCGCTAAATGTAGCGGAAAAATTTTCCCGCTAAATGTAGCAGAAAAATTCCCCGCTATATTTAGCGGAAAATTTTCCCCTAAATGTGAGGCGAGCAGGAGAGAAGGAGGGGCATAGCCTCCTCTCCGTACCTTCCCCTTCCCCTTTCATTGTTTTCTTATTTTATGGGAATACAGGACGAGAGGTACAAATCATAGGTTAGCTCAGGCGAACATTATGGTCTAGAATACTTTAATATTCATTAAGCTAAAGAACAAAGGCAACCAGTCGGGCAGGATTTCGCGACACTCATATATACTTTTGATTTGGGCTTCACACTGTGGGAGCCACTGGTTCCCCTCCCCCGAGAAGGCGCAAGCCGAGGACGTTCCGGGCGAAGCCGTCTGATTTCCAGCCCTGTCGCTCCGTATCGTGTCCGAGAGACTACGCCACCATGCTGGTTTACTCTCTCGCACCCCTCCGCGCGTCTCCCCGATTTCGGGGGAACAGCGAGATCGCGCGAGGGAGAGTCGGGCCTGCCATTCGAGTGGACAGCCGTGTGGTCGGGGAGTCCTGGATTGGACTCCGGGCGACGAGTCGAGTCGCGCTGTGAGCTCGGCCGACCGGCGATGACTCAACGCTAGTGATTCCCTGGGCTCTGACAGTCGGCGTCCCCACTACCTGTGGACGTCCGTCTGCCCAGAGCCCTGGCCCCGAACTCCTGTGATGACGGGTAGGGGCGTGAGCTCGTCCGTCCGGCGATGACTCTGCTCGCCATTACCCCTTGGGCTCTCAGGTCGGCGGATGCTATGGGCACACTGTGTCTGCGGCTCGCTCGACCACAGTGTCTTGTTGGGGACCCCTGGTACTCAATAAACGCTGTTGGATACCGGGATCATAGTTGTTGGCATGGCGTTGGCCGAACCCGGCGCGGCGACCGCCCTCGCTGGTAGCCGTCGGCCGCGCGGTGGAACGGCCCGGGCGGGCATCGGATTCCCCCTTTGACCGGACAGGTCCACGGACGTAAAAGGTACGTGATCTGCCCTGCCTTGGTTCCCACAACAAGGAGTAAAATAAAAATTAACAGGTTTTGGTGCCTGAATAGCGTTTCTTACATGCATCCGAGACCTTCATATACTATATGAACCCAAGAGAATAATGAGATCATATGGCACAATGTTTCCGAAGAAACAGGTAAAAAACATATTGAATACGGTGAAATGTTAAGGTATTTTTTGAACGTGCGCTGCAGGACGTACCCCAGAAGAAAATTCTGTGCCAGCAATCAATAAAAACATGTTCTATAATTTTTCGTGTTTTGCGCAGTAGACAATTCACATTCCATAGAACAAACGCCCCTTTTTCATTCAGCCATATTTTGGTCGGTAGTACAGAACAGTGCAACTTAAAAAAACGGTTTGGCCGCTGGAGGGATTTCCATTTTCTTTACGCGACATAATACATCTCGACCAGGGCTGTCTTCATAAATTGTGGGATAGATTGGTGTTGGCAAGAGCACATCCACTAGGTTAATTAACTCGGCCACCGATCCGCCGTGAGGACGTATCGTGTTTGCTGAATCAATGTCTCAACACGGCGGCGTTGAGAGATGGAGAAGGTGACGCGTGCTGACGTGAGCGCTTTGGACCAATACGAGCGTCGCACAGCTGGCCCCGAGGCAAAGTCGAGCAGGCGACGCGCCGCTTTGTACTGCGGCCCAGCTCAGTTGCCGCTCCAGCGATGGATGTGGTTCTTTTTACGAGTGATGTGGCTGACCGTATCCAAGAGCGACGACGGAAGAAAGCTAGCGAGGTCACGCCAGGCCATCCGATTAAAATGCCCTCAAGGCATTTTCATCTGATAAATCCCATTAATCGTCGAACCAATTTTTTTTTTAAATTTTCTCTCTGCCTTCTACTTGACGAGTCCCTAAGGTCACCAGAACTTTCGCAAAAAGAAAAACTCCGACTACTCCGACTATTCCGACTCTTGTGAGAATACTCGCTTGTATTTTCTGCACACCTCCTCTTTCACGTGTTCTTTCCTTCTCGCGGCTCCATGACGTACTAGGTTTTTTCCTGGGATAAAAATCCCTCGTGCGAATACATCATTACGAGCTAACGCGACCGGCACTTACGTAACCCGAGCTCATCACGACCGACGCTTAATATCTTACGCGACCGGCGCTTTAGCCAAGGTCGCTTAAACCCCGGGCGCTTCAGCCACCGGCGCTTCCGCCACACACGCTTCAGCCAACTTCGCTTCAGCCACGAGCACTTCAGCCACGAGCACTTCAGCCACGGGCGTTTCGTAACCTTAAATACGCGACCTTTAGCGTGGCTGGGCCTATAAGTCTAGCGCGTTAAAAAAAGCACGCACCATTTCGCATTACAAAACGTAAAGAAATGCATGAAGGACATTAATACCGTGACGTCAGCTGTGAATTTAATTTTTTTTTTTACGTAGTGGTTTGTATTTACAATTTTCATGGTACTCGATCTTCGTTGATTGAGAACCCTTGCAGGTGTTGTAGACATTTTCGCACTCAGTTGGAGGATTATCGTCTACTCTATAATAATCCATCCACAGCGTACAGCCTGAAAGAGCAGAGAGACGCATTGATGTAAATAGCCGCATGGAGTGCTCATGCTATGCACAAGTTCACAAAATATAATAAAACTGGTGTCCAGGAAGTGTACAATAACTATAGGTAGCATACAACGCGGGAGTATTGAACAACGGGAAGGCACAGGAACACTACGTGCCTCGGTACGCACATTTCACAACGTACTTCCTTCGGCGAACAAGATACACCACGGGAGTATTTAAGGTAAGACATTTGCCATTTACACTTCATTACGAATTGAAAATGGTACTTAAAGTGTTTCACAGCGAAGCCGTATATGACTCGCAGGTGGTATTTTTTTGTGGACCTCAACAGGAAACCCACGCGCGCGCCTTTTTACCGTTCGCAGCGGGCCTTATCTCTTACGTCGTTTTGACACTTATTTCAATAAAAAACACAAGACAGGTGTCAAAACCACCTGATAGATGATAAGCAGTAAGCACGTAGTACTCCTCGCATGCGTCTCTCGGATAAGACTGGGGTTGCATTAACTTCCGCAATAACGGCATCGTGCGAAGTCTTATAGAGAAACATTTCGCTAAAGTGCATTTGCTCTCCTTTCGCAATCATTTGGTGTAGACCCTTTTGCTGTTTGCAAACATGAACTGCCGCTTGCGTTCCAAAGGACTTCCGGTCGCACGGTCTTTACAGGCTTGTTGAGCTTCCGTGTCACGAGTGCTAGGAAGCATCACGGATAACGAAGTGGGAGACTTGTCAAGGGTCTTCGGCTGCACAATATTACATCTTAGAGGAGGCAGGTTGGTTTACAATACTCGAAACATTTTAACATATCTCGCACTCCTTCGTTCTTTTGGCGTTCACCTGGAGAATTGGCGGTTAAACGTTTTACCTATATTTCAAGCAGTGATGTTAAGGTGGCCTTTGTTCATTCTTTTTATATACCGGAAGTTCTTTGGGAGATCAGACTGGAGCACCACCTGGTGGCGTGTGCCGTAAAAGGGGTCTATAGTGCAGGGGGCAAACGCTGCAGGTGCTACCACAGCTTCGCTCTCCAACAACCTTCACAGGGTGCATTGGAGCCTCAGCTTGTCATAGAAGGCTTCGAGTGAAGTACAGATATTTAAAAATCTATTTGACACTTTTTAACACATTTGAAAAGCCTTTTCTTCTTTTAATTACTCATGTTACAATTTTATAGTCACGGGACGAAACAAAAAAGCACAAGACCCTGTTTAGTGTGTTTTTAATTTAGAAAAAGCATACGTTATGTTCATATTTATAACGATTATTCTACGATATAAGCGCACATGTCGCATAAATCGTTTCTTGGAAATTAGATGTACATTTAAACAATGAGTGTAATAACTAGATTCTTTAATGCAGACACATGAGGTCGGGAAGAGGCACAAGCAAAGATGGGAGTAATGGCATTACCGTAATGAAAGTACTGCAATTAAATTACTTTTTTCTGTAATCAGTAATGTAATGAATTACTTTTCTACGCTTGTAATTTCGTAATGTAATTGATTGATTCCAGACGGTAATTTTGAAAAATTATTCATTATTTTCGTAATTGCTTTTTTCGAAGGCCCATCTCAGAACAAAATCTGTGACGCGGGAGTCAAGAGCTAGAGCTGCTAGGCCAACGCACAAAGACGGCATCGAATGGCGAAGTGAATGAAGAAAAGTTTTCGAGTGATGACATAGCTGGAAGGCCACAGTTCACGAAACTCCAGTCGAGACGCCCTCACGGCGAAATCGGGGAATCGGAGACCGCTCCAGGCTACAATGTGGAGAGCACTTCACTGCGAAGATCAACATATTTTAAAACCTGTGTCGAGTCAGGTGTTAACCTTAAATCTTTTGCCAAGGATCCACCACTTCTCGTAGTTGTCTTGACCTTCGTAGGTAAAGAAGCTTTTTGTATGCTCCGTTCACCCTTAAGTTGACAGTGCTGTGGAAGCTGCCCAATTCGCTTAATCAGTCATGCGTAGATCCTTCGCCATTTGATCACAACCCTGCCAATACCCATGCGCAGAGAGCGAAGTCAGGGGATCAAATCCAGGCGGTTGACTGGTCCATCGAGTACGTAGCTACCACCGCACTATCAGCTTAGGGGTAAACTTAATCTATTCGGAAACGACAAAAAGCGAAAAAAGGAGACTCAGATTGATAAGTTAAGATAGGGAAAAGCAAACACGCAGGTATGACCGTCGGTTCGTCGGGGAAGGACACATCCCTGGAAGCGCCCGCAACTCCTTTTCTTGTCTGGTGGCGCTTTTCCCCAGAAAAGATCCGGCCACCTTGCGTTAGTACGCTCGATGATTCGCGCTCTTTTGGTTTTATGGAGCAATACTTATGGAGAAGAATGTCCGGGAATGCTTCGACCAGTGATTTTGAGAGAAAGCGATTCGATTGGCGTCTGAGTCAGAGGAAAGAAGTTTTAGGAATTTCCTCAACTTTGGACAAGATGGATTCGGGAAGGACGGATCCCGTTCGCTAAAGGGCAAACAAGGTGCAGTTTAGCACACCTCACAAATGTTGTTACGACTTCATGTAAACCCGACCAACCGAAGTGGGCGACTTCTCCAAAATAAAGAGGTACGCAATCACATCAGCCATGAACCGATCAAAGTGTACAGCGAAATTAGTGTGCTGTCTGTTTTAGTCATACCTCAAGGTGCTGTACCTTATGTTTAACACTTCCGTCGTCCAGTGCAGTAATTACTACCTGAAATAGTTTAAAAGTAATTTCGAAGTAACTTTATTACTTTTCAAAAATAATCGTAATGTAATGTAATTACTTTCAGTGTGTGGTAATGTGTAATGTAATTTAGTCAGTTTCGCGTATTTCTGAGAAAGGTAATGAGTAATTTAGTTTTAAAACCTTTGAAAAGTAATTGTGCGATCTCTGTGCAAGAGTATTTAAACCCCTTTTCTACGGAAAGGTAATGATATCTTTCAAACAAGGCTCCCACATGGAATTGTGACGTGAACTCCCCTCCCCACGCAGGCTCTCCTCTACATGAGAAAGATTGTTCTCTCCCTCTTTTCCCTCCCGGAAGACGACACCACTCTTAAGCGTGGCCGTGCAACGCCTCTTATACCAATTTCGATCAGCTCGCACCTTAATTGCCCTGAAACCAGAACGGTGGATCTTACCGCTCGGGTTTCAGGGCATTTTTACTTTCTTTTGGTTCGTCAAAAGTTTACCGATTAGCCTAAGAAAACATTATTCGGTTAACCTACAGATTAATTGATTAATGCGTTAATCGTAATCAAAATTTGCAACCGGTTAATCGTTACATTTTTTACGAGCCAAAAAAAGTAAAAATTAAACGCATTCGCCTCCCAGACGTGGACGAGTACACCTGTACGAAGAAGAAACGTTTAGGTAAAATGTTAACCTAAAGTAAACTACTATAGAGGCGAGATTTTCAACTTGAAGCAACTACAAAGGGTTACTCGTGTCCAGGGAACTTCAATGCCGTGCGAGTGTCCGTTTAGTTTTCAAGAGACTAATGTGAACAGACAGAGCAGTTCGCTCTTGCCGAAAATATCAACGAATCTCTTTGCTTTATGCAGCTGAAGTAATATTATGAGAGTGTGAGTATCTTTGAATTGCTCTCAACTACGTATCATATTTAATTCATAATCGAAATTGTATATTGTGGGCCATCTATGATATATTCACAAAAAGAAATATATATATAAGGTTTTTTTTTAAAGCTTAATATAATTAAAAAAAAAAAAAAAAACATGAAAGCTAGATTAATGTGGTCTGCGCAGGTGAGTTATACGGCCAGGGGGGCATAATATAAGAGGCTAATCGTAACGATCAGTCGGATAATTAGTTAAAATTCGTTAATGAACTATTTAATTAATGAAAATAGACATATAATTCCAATTAGAAACTTGCCCAGCGTCATCAAAAACCACTAAAATCTGTAATTTTCAGAAAGACTCTGAGCACGTGAGAAGCGTAGTAGTGCACTAAAGTTAGCACTCCTGGAGCACGTACAAAGCTAGCGGTTGCGGTAAGACGTCCGCGCAATTTTTCCTTCTCTTATCTAACCCCAGCCCCAGCCACGAGCAGGTAACTGCTCCTGGAGCAGTTACTCGCTCCACGAGCGTTAACTTTAGTGTACTACCTCGCTTCTCACGCGTTCAAAGTCTTTCTGAAAATTACTGATTTAGTGGTTTTCAATGATGCTGAGCAAATTTCTAATTGGAACTATATGTCTATTTTCATTAATTAAAAAGTTAATGAACAAATTTTAACTAGTTAGCTGACTGATCGTTACGAATAGCCCCCTATACTATGTCCCACTGGCCGTATAACTCACCTAACTAAACCGCCTTAACCTAGCTTTCATGTTTTGTTCTTAAAACTTGTGATAAGCTTAAAAAACACCCTGTATATATTTACATATGTATATATATATATATATATATATATATATATATATGCAATTTTAAGTTAAAAAAATACGATGCATGCGGATGAACGAGACCGAAGAATCGATTAATTGGTCAATTAATGGTTAGGGATTAATCGGGTTAAAAGTTTTTATCTGCGCCCAGCCCTACTTTTAGCTGTTCTTCATTCAGTATGTCACTCCGTCTCTAAGTCAGGTTTGAGGTATACCTAGATATCTCAGTTAATCACTCACCTTGGCTGGTTTCATTATAAAAGGTTTCTATAACTTGGCACTTCTCTGTGACGTTGAAGTAACTAAGTTTCCTATTTTGTTCTGTTTGACACACACAAAAAAAACAAAAAAAAACACGTATATAACTTGTCTTCGGGTTATTTCTACAAGTATTAATTGCAACAGGAGCAAGTGCGTGGATTAACTTGTATAGAAACATGTTAATCTAAACCCGCTATTTTTCTGTTTATTGTCTCAGGGTTTACACGCATGAAGTACTTTTCGTATTTTGTTTTACACTCGGTTGAATACCGTTACAGTTAGGCACAGGGTCACGAAATGACAGTCACAACATGAGGTTGGAAAAGCCTTGTAGGAATAGCAAAACTGCGGCATCTTTGTTTAGTATTTTTGAAGACAGCGAACGTGTGCTTATTTACAGATTTCAAATTTGTTTCCCTCTAATTCCAAATTTCTCCGGGACTTCCCGCGAGACACTGGCGTCTGAAGAAACATCAAGCAAAACTGAAGTATGCAAAAAGCTTGCCCTCTAACATGAATAAAAAAAAAGGACACCTATCAAGTGTGTACGCAAAAAAATAATATTCCTGTAGCCAGCTCCTTATCGCAGCATAAAATAACACGGAACACTCCAACTACAGGCCAGAGTAAAAAAAGCCGTGGTCACGATAATCTAGCTCAATATTTATAAACACACACACGCACACACACACATATATAAATATATATATATATATATATATATATATATATATATACAACGGGCATGGTGGCGGAGGGGCCGAAGGCGTGGGTACAGAAGACGAAAAGAACCCTTGGTGAAAACAGCAACAACGGACGATTTAATCTTCGACGTTTCGGCCGGAGTCCGGCCTTCGTCAGGAAGCCGGACTCCCTGTCTTCCTGACGAAGGCCGGACTCCGGCCGAAACGTCGAAGATTAAATCGTCCGTCGTTGCTGTTTTCACCAAGGGTTCTTTTCGTCTTCTATATATATATAAATATATACGGCCGAAAAACGCGCTTGAGACGGTTGTTGGAGTCTTTAAAACATATCATTTGTAAAGGTCTTCGACGTTTCGGCCTGAGACAGACCTTTTTCTGTCAGAGACAGTCTTGAAAAAGGTCTGTCTCAAGCTGAGACGTCGACGACCTTTACAAATAATAATTTTTGAAACTCCGACAACCGTCTCAATTGCGTTTTTCTGCCGTATATACTTTTCGTAATCCTGCACTACTTTTTTTTTTAAATATATATTGCCACGTGCTTTTTAAGACAATGAACGATAGTTCATACTTCTAGAATATTTGCGTTTACTCTTACTCCGAAATATGCGACGCTCAAGCATTCTAGGGCGAATGTTCTAGATAACGAGTGTAATAGATAAGGATGTAAACGTGCCCTGCCAAGTCAGTGTCCTGGGTGTTCGACACTCGAACATTCTAGGACGAATGTTGGAGACACAAAGTATATTAGATAAGGAGCCCAGCGTGGCCTTGCCGTCTCTCTTTCGCTCTAGTCAGCTGCCACGCCGACACACCGACGCTCACTGCTGCTTTCCCACTAGTCCTTTTTTCTTTCGTTTTTGGCACAAGGTTGCTGATTAAACGCTTATTTTACATTTTACGCTTGTCGATCCTTTTGCATCCGCGTCAATATTCCTATTTTGGGGGATGTGGAAAATAGCTGTGCAAGCAGCTTTTTTCCACATTCCAAGCCTCCATGAAGGTATACAGCGGTTCAGAAAAACTACACTAGAGTTTGCATATGTAAACTATTTGGCAAAAGTACCAAAAAACCAGAAAATGTAAACAAACAATAATGTGAAAACGCTCAATGGGCATTATAGATTCTTATTTGTTTACAATAGCTACAAAATGCTCTGACGAAATTTAGATATTGTAGCGTAAGTTTGCCTTGAGGATAACTGTGCAATGAAAATCAACAGTCTATTTTGGAAAAAAGATATAGAAATTTACACAAGCTTGGATAAACCATATTGATATTTAAATCTATGAAAATGTTTAGTGGTCTTGGTAAGGTTTTTCTAATTGTTTGAAGACCGTAATCTGTGCGAGCTGCTTCTACTATCAAGAAGTCTGATTGACCAGGGAAATGTGGCAGTGTTTTTCTTTCTGGATTGAGTTCAGAGTTAACAAAGAACTATTATTATCTAGATTCTAGATATTCTCGTCTATATTTAACGCTAAGCCTCTGTCAGTGGTGTGCAGTACTTTTTAATACCCCAATGTCTCAAAAAGTTGGTCTGTGCAGGAAATATACAGCGAAAGCCTGAGCGCTTTTTTCTCTCGTTTTTTTTAAGGAATCTTTTATGTAGATTTGTTTTTGTTGTGGGACCCCAGGCCAGGCGACAATTGTTCAGATGATATACAAATAGCGTGTTGTACAAGAGTAACTTGCACGATAGAAGAATCTAACGATGTTTATGTAGCAAACGAATTATATCAGCACGTTTTAAATCTACATGGTCTATGACTTTTTTTTTTTTATAAAATACGCTTACTCTGCAAATATGTATAGTGTTTCTTTGAAATTTTTGAATCTTAATTATCTTGTTTATTGCCCATTTTCCTACCTTAAAAAAGGACACTGACAATATTCTCTTACTTTCATAATAAAGTAAATTCTACAGCTATATAATGTAGAAACAACCACGAAGTGGCTAACTTTATTAACACCCCTTCCTTTTTTATTCTTGTTATAAACCTGTTTAAAGCAAGTGCGGCACTTCCACATTCATGTAATTACTCAGCAATCGTTATGCCAGGGTTCAGCATGGCGTGGGAATAGTCTGCCTGAAATAGAATCTTTAAAATAGTCATCCGCCTGAAGGAACTGCAACCAAGAAAATTAATCCAGTCACCAAGAAACCGGAATATATCTAATATTTGCAGTACTTCTAATTTTTCATGGTTATCGGCACGTGGAGAGCGAAAAGCCACAAAGAACTTACTTTCGTAATGTCTCCAAGCGTTATAATAAAACGTATCACTGTGTGTTTTGTTGAACAGTACTGTCATCTCGTACTGGTGGCCGTATCTAAAAGACAGTTTTAATGAAAACTTGATAGATTGATGAATTTCCTGAACAACGCCTCTTTATACTTTGAGTGTTTAAAGCTCGAAAAGTCCCCAATACTTGGTCTTATATACCTTTATATTTGTTACCACAAATGAGTTTTTAATATGCATTTGTTCTTCAAATACCTGAATTCTCTATAGGTATTCATTCGTAAAGTGGCAAACCTTTTTAGAGACTACTTATAGGTTTAAAATTGTCTTCCTAAAAAACTTGCTTCCTTTGCAAGAAACAACCAGTCCCCAGCATCGCTTCTTTGACTGAAGAGTGGGGTGACTTGCATATTTTAAGACAGACATGCTTCTTGATACCCACTATTATACTAACAAACACTTAATCTAAAAAAAACTGCACCACCTTAATATAGAAAAAGATCTAGAAATTACCATCGTCGCATCATTCATTTTCCGCTCTTTTTATGTTCTAAGCGCAGCGTTTGGAGCATCTTTTCCTTTGATGGACAAAGCAAAAGCAATTACGGTTGGTTGCTTTAAAAAAGCGTGATGATGCATGAAGTACTCTATACTCCGTGCAAGTTCATCTGCTCCTTGCGCACCTTTGCTTTTGTTTACCGCCAAATCCGTCCACGTGACTTTGTTTCCCCCAACCACAACCAATGTCGGCGTCCGTCTGGTTGGCTCGTCATCGCGCGGTCCCTGCACGTTATCTATGTGGGCATTTAGTGTGTCCTTCCTTGCGGCCTGATGCTCCAAAGACACATTTTGAAACACTTGCTGGCCTTATAGAGTTGGTGGATTACTTTTTACTTGTACTCTTATTTGACTTTATATTATCATTTTCTTTTTTTATTTGTTGAACGCGTTAATCATGCAAATTTGTTTTTGTTTTACTCTTCGGAAGTTGTGAATGTCAAGCGAACCCATTTTGTGCATTACCGATATTTGCTTCTAAGTAACTGTGAAATTTTTTTTTCAACTCGGCATTATGCGCAAATCAATCTTTAAGGCACCCACGTTCTTTGTTGGAATACATCTGTTTGAACAACCTCTTTCAATAAACTTGCGCGCGATCTAGATCACAATTTCGGGAGCGCTCCTCACCCTGGACTTTGGCTGAATGTGGCCGAATCGTGAGAGATGCTTTATATTTTGAAAAAAACCATAGTACGAAGTAGGCACGTAGCCAGGATGTTGTTTCCGGGGGGGGGGGGGGGGGCGCTTATGACATAAATGATGTATGGGGGGAGGGGGGAGAGGATGTCCCAGCAATATGGAAGATTTCGAGGAGGGGGGCCGAAGCCCATGGCCGCCCCCCCCCCCCCCCCCTAGCTACGTGTCTGGTTCCAAGGCGCACGAATCAAAACAACGGCTTTATTTAACTTCAGGCTCGCAAATCTATTCAAAAATGACTTACTAAAATGTTATAGAGAAACGAAGGATGTTTCTGATAGGCCCCCAGTTTAAATAAGAATAATTTTAACACTTACAGGCACGCACTTTTCAGAAAAATTAGACGCAATATCTCAAATGTATCCAAGCGCGCGACACTTCAAGAAAAAAATTATTCAGCTTGGGTCTCTGATAGATGTCTAAATAATAAGGGGAGCTAGAAGGTCGTTTATGTTACAATTGCGATCTACCGGTTCTCAAAAGATGACCTGCATTAGTCGCCAACTTTTTGAAGACTGACTTCGTTCTGAACAATGGTTTAACTTTGCATTTGAAACCAATCTGTGTATGTCAAGAAAAAAAAACACATACAATGTTTAAAGGTAAGCGATTTTCAAGTGCACACTTACGGGTCTCCGTCGTAACCTTTAGTCTCGTATCGGATTGTGACGGGATCACCTGGGCGCTTGTCAAGTCCTCCCCACCTTGACACACATTTGTAGCTTCGAAACGCCCAATCATCCATGTAGCTACGATACTTCATATAGTACGTGTCCTTCGTATAAAAAGCCTAGGAACGAAAACGCAGGAGAATATTACTGACTGATGAGAAAAGTTATTGATATAACCATTTTTTTTAACTTGTAGCCCTTTGATTATTAGAGACTTCCCGATATTTTGCTTTTTTTGATCAGTTTTTCGATCAAGCAAGCATATCACCCAGTGTCTTCTCCTTAATAAATGAACTTCCAAAAATATATCCAAATCGGGAGATCATTTTTTTACGGTTAAGGTTTTGGTTAACAAAAAACTCAGATCTGTGTGTTCTCACTAACTCACCCGCGAATGGAGTTTGGCCCCCATTCCACAATACATTATTTTTCAACCGCTTTTTTGCCTAATTCATTCGGAACGGTCTGTCTATGCAAATCTAGACTGCTTACTCTTAGAAGCCACGAAAAGATTATTAAAAAAACAGTTAATTTATATACAAGTGTATTATATTTCAGGGGTTTACTATAGTAGGTGACGGGCTAAGACTTCACGGGAAATTCCATCCACCTCTCTACCCTTTAGTGGACCGAACGCTGGAGTGCAGGCGTCCTCCTCTCCAGCGTCCGCTCTACTAAAGTGGAAAGAGATAGAAGAGCTCCCATGAACGCTTAATCTGATCAGATTCAGAAGCGGATGTGGATTTAAAGGAGACAAGGAAAGCGGTGACCGTCTCCCCCCCCCCCCCCCCCCCCCCCCGCCGCCCCAGAGGTGATGTTTTTTTTTTTTTTTAATGCGAAAGCATTGACTGTCTCATGGAGCGAGCCCACGTCACCAAGTTGAAGCGCGAAAACGGCACCTTAAATCCTTTCTCCAAGTAGAGCCAGCTCCCAGCTATGAAACCACGCGAAAACCCTAGACGCGGCACCTAGTTTCCCCAATCCCAAAGGAGCGAAGTAAAGCTGATGTATTTTCGGCTTCGGTCCCATGGGCGGGCGCGCATTGACGAAACTTCCATTGGCCGCTGCGCGTCACTTTGAAAGATCGCTCACCCGATGGCGCTGCGTGTCCGTGAGTCAGCCTCTCCACAGCTCCACGCCCAAGGTCAACAGCCCGTACGCAAAAGACGGAAGAAGGGAGCGAAGAGCGGCCTGCGTGCTTTCGGATTCACAACCCATAAAAAGTGCTTAGGTGTACCTCGAGTCTTTTTTGTTTGTGTTGTTAAGACGGTACATTTAAAAATGCCCCGTCTGTGGTAAAATATTGATTATATTTTTTACCGGGTCGTCACATCCATCACTGACGTTATAGATCTTTTTTATCTCAGTTGTTACCTAACCGGTGGACAGAAGGCGCTGTCGCAGCCGCCCCCATAAGGTGGCTTCGATTTGGTTGTTTTTGGTTTCGACGTGCTCCCGGCTGTGTTGGTGTGTTACGTATTTTCGTTCAATTTTGTGATACAAATCTGTCTTTTGTGATACACAATATATAACACAGTGAGACTGGGCCACTTTTAAAACTATGGAGTGATGTTCAGCCTAGCTTAGGGACGTTTCTACGAACAGCTTCCTATGGTCATGTTCGTTGTTGGGTCAGGTTCGGTGTCAAGACGACTGAATTGATGAAGCAGAATGGACAGTCTCCAGCTTTACGAGCTGACACTACGTTTCTTACAAATAAATATAGTAAAATAACTTACGCACAGATGCTTTGTGAAAAGGTAAGTCCTGATTAGCAATATGCTGAATCCCGGACAACAAATGAACTAGGAAGTTTAGTGCTCACTGTTCAGTTCTCGAGGACACCAACTTTTTATGAACACCGTTGACTGCAAAATGAGGTAATGAAGAATAAAACATAAATAAAAAACAAAAAAGAAATGTCTCCGCCGGTTTTCGTTTTTTGAAGAAATTAAGGATTAGATGTTTTGATGGTTCATCGTAGGCCGAGTAGGTAATTTTTTAAACGATGCTAAAGTAATTAACAGAATTTCGAATGATTGACCTTAGGAAGTAAACTATTTGTGATACGAACGTTGCAGGCTATGAGACAAGTGATGAACCCGCCAAGTGAAGAAGTCTGACTTCTCGTACAATTTGCGAAATTAAATTAAAAAGTGCAAGAGACGTGACCTCCGGAAAGTTTAGCTGAAGTCGAATCACAGGCACCGCTTCATAGATCGGTGCAGACAAGTTTTTATTCGTTTTAATAGGTGCATTTGTTACTTTCATTGTTAGCAGTCACTGGAAGTAAATCGAACATCGACAATGCTGCGCTCGGGTGATGTAGTACGTGCAGACAGTTTATTTTCGGCTTCACATATTGCATACTTCAGGCCTTCAAAAGCTGTCTGGGACAATATGTTTCACCGAGGAGCCATACTCTTTGCTTGTAAATAAATTAATATTAGATGTATTAAGAAAATAATAAACCACTTGGGTGACTGCATACATGAGACCAAGCACAAATTAAGCTTGCTTTATATTGATATGCCAACTGAGGGATGGGCAAAATACATGCAAATATGTATCGAAATGCAAATACAAGATACTTCGTCAAAAATGTATTTAATTACAAATCTAATTACATTTCCAAAAAAGAATTTAAGTGAAAGATACAAATACAACCAAATGTATTTGTTGTCCTCCAAATACTTTTCCAAATACATTCCTCAAAATTTGCGTCAGTGACTTCAGGGCACCTGCAACGGGTTTCTGGGTACCTCATTTTAATTTTGCATTGCACACACGGGAGTTAGTGCCAGACTCTAGTAACGTAGTAGAAATATAACCACAAAAAATGTAATCAGCTTGGACGTAATAGGTTTAAAAAGTACAGAGCTTCAAGAAGCTTTTTTTGTCGATTACATTTTGGTATAGACCAACAAAGAACCGAGACGACGAAGACACGCAGCACTAGCTAGAGAATTTTTTATTGTTGCAACTCGCACCAGTTATAAAAATCTGGATGACCCGGCATTTAGAACGTTTCAGGCAAAAATATGGATGAAAATCAGGCTGGAAAGCATCACAAGTTGTTACATGCACTTCTTTAGCCAGTCTGCCCGTGATCGTCGATTTCGTCACTATTCTTGCCCTAGACTAGCACAGTAATCACAAAGTCACTAAACGCTTGTGCTCGATTGAGAGACACTGCATTCCGTGCAGAACATAGTTTTCTTCCTGCTCTGTACAGTGACAATAAATTTGAGGGATGTATTTTTGCCCACAAAATTGTATTTAATTACAATTGTATTTGAAATACCCATGTTTTAGTATTTAAATAAACACGTCAAATACATTACCCAATTTGTAATTAAATACAAATCCAAAATACACAAAGTATTTGAAATACGTATTTCAAATATTTGTATTTAAAATACTGCCTATCCCTGTGCCAACTGATCCGGTAAATGTTTATACCACAAAAACAATTCCTTAAATATTCAACGGCAATTGTTTTCGTTTTGTTATGAGGCAAAACATGACGCTTTCGGAATGCAGACAAGTATATTTACGTTGGCTATATGTGTTGCGTATAAGGGTCTTAAATGTGTGATTATAAAGATGCCTTGCGCTTCTTATTGCGAAGGTTCCATCATCATCACTAAGAAAGCCTGCTCCATCATAAACATTTGGTCTCTTAAGCCTCGCACTCTCGTGTCTGGTATTCACTTGATGAATTCGGAGCGATTCAAAAGCACTCCATGCTCGCGCCTTTAGTAGGGCAGATCCGAGCGCGCTTGCACATCCAAGAAGATGCAAAAAATGAGCTCTAAAACCGCTCCAAAGTTACTATGTAAATACTTTATTAAGTTAATCGACGTACTTAATGTGCACCGGTGATAAGGCTGACTTCTGTTTCTCTACTGACCTCTCTACACTTATCCGGTATGCCGACAATTAGAACAGTCAAAACGAGTTATGACATCAGCTGCGGAAGAGTGCGCCTTACGATAACCTGAAATTAGCTATAGCTAAGCATCGGACGACACTTTACGACGCAAGACACATAATTGCGGTAAAACGCGTCGAAAAACACGAATACAAAGCGTTCGCCAAGGAGTGGAGTAGAGAGCGGAGCGACGATCTGAAGTCACCTTATGGCGGCATCGTCACGTGGTTCCAAGATGGCAGTTCCCATACAACAGAGTGTGAAAAAGCCTATATTTATTTATGACGTATCATCTTTTTGCAAACCGGACTCTCCCAAGCCTAACGCCAGGTAGACACCACTTTGAAAAAACAGTTCCAAGATACGAGATTTCTATAGTTGTTTGGTATTTGACGCCCCAATTGCCTCTAGCTCGGTGTAACGCTATCTTTAGTTACGGTGAAGGAAACATTATCCGTAAGTGGCACATTCTAATTAGAGATATGTTACCCGACGTCCAAATATGATTTAGCTATTGTGAAGGTTCAGACAACAAAAGTATGCCACGACAATACCGAATCAATCTGAGCGGCGTGGGCTCGCTTCATATTTAGTTCAATCATAAACAATATCCCAGAAACAATCCCTTCAGTAAAACAATTAAAAATTTTTTTTAAGAATTTAAGCAACTTTTTTTTGCTTCTTAAAATACAGTTCAAATGTAAATTCCACATAAGCCAATACTGACTGGTTCCTGGAACGCGACAAATGCCTTTGCATTTTTATAAGATTATTATTAAACTTGCCAGGCCCTTGACAAAATAAATGGAGTTTCTATCTCCAGAAAAAAAATGTTAGTCTATTGCACTGATTCATTAAACAGCAGTAATGCATAAGATATGTTGGGTATGGGCATTCCTTACGTCACATTGTTAACTACAATTCAACTTATCGAAGCGAGCCAATTGTGTAGGGGTGTTCTTGACTCTGTTCAGGTATCCACATTTTAACTATTGCTTATGCCACATGGGATAGCAGTAGTTATCCCATGGAGCAGAGCAGGCGGCCTCTGTAACCGCGAAAGAATGCGAAAGAAACCCCATTCTATCATTGGCTGAGCGAAACGGCTTCTGGATAGCCACTGGCGGCCACTTCACGAGAGCGCGTGCTCGGCCTACACCGCAGACAAACTAAGAAAGCGGAAGAACGACACTCGTGTTTTCACATTCACAACTCATAAGTGATTAGCTGCCCTCAAAAATTTGACAGCTTTTTCTTTCTCGGGGGGGGGGGGGGGGGGGGGGGGGGAGAGGGATTTTATTTTGAGTAAATCTTCAGGCAATTTATTAAAAATCTTGGGAATATATTAAATATTTGTTGCCTCTCTACACTTGGTTTAAATAAATGGTTCAATACTTATTCTATCCGGTCTTAACGTTCTTCCTTTGGCATTTCTAAGTTTGTTTTTTACTGAAAAAATGTTTTATTATGATATGATACTTCATCTGGTTTCTAAAACACAGCATCCCTAGTAGTCTTTATTCATATAGTTTTGCAGATCAGTTTCTTCACTTTCGTAACCTATTTATCGGTTGGCTATCTTTTTTGGATCGATTCTATTTTTAGTTGTAGGTATTTGGCACAGTATCCGTAGAATTTATTGCATACTGAAGTGTGGGCTTGCCATCTAATTGTATATTTTCACGAATGAAGGCGACGAGGATATGAATAATGAACTGAAAATAGAGGTTCATTCGACGTACTTGTGTTTGAAACAAAAAAAAAAATCTAACTATCTCATCTGCACTTCAGTATTCCGGAGTGTGGAACGAGTCTTGGCCTGGTCGGAAAGAGCGCCTTCAACACTGGTATTAGGTTGCCGCCAGTAATAATAAAAAAACAATGAAAAAATGAAAGCCGTTTACAAATCTCTTTAATGCTAAATTAGAGCGCCCTCCTCTTCTTCCGTGTCCTCCTCCTCCTTCGCACCCTCCTCTTCCGTATCCTTTCTTCCCCATCTTTCGTACCCCCCCTCCTCCTCCTGCGTACCCTCACCTCCTCCTTCGCAACTCCTCCTCCTCTTCCTCCATACCCTCCCCCTCCAACAGTTTCCCCGCTAAAATTAGCTGGAAAATGGACAGCAAGTGAAATCAACAGCAATTCAATTTTCCAGCTAAATTTAGCGGGGTAAGTAAATGATGTCACATGACCGTGTCACGTCACCTATGCACACATCAAGTTATTTCACTTGATTTATCGTGAAAAATTCACGCCTCGAGACATCAACAACAATTCAATTCCCCGCTGAATTTAACGGACAAACTGAATTCGTGTTGAGATAATGTGACATCACTTTTATTCCTAAATTTAGCAGGGAAACCGAATGGACAGTGCTACATTATGGCACCGTCGCACACCTACACACTAATTCCCTTTCTTCGCTGAATTTAGCGGGGCATTGAATTGGTGTGTAGGTGTGTGACATCCCATAATACAACGCGCGCGGTTACGCCAACGGCGACGCCGCTATACGCGGAAACGGGTACCTAAGGGCTGCGCTCCTCAAAAGGAAGAAGACACGTCCAGAAAGCAGCAAGTCAACGTTGACGGCGGCAGCAGCGAGCGACGCTGCGTCGGCGTGACAGCTGGCTTTTGCGAGAGCGAATCAGTGAATGAATCGGCAAGAATCCGCTCAGCTCCATATCTACTACGCTCCTATCGGCTCCTTATCTACTGGCTCCCCAAACTGTAAGAACTAGTAAACTAGCGCCGGGACCAGAGGAAACAAAAATGGGTAAGCACAAAACCATTTTCAAAAGAGCAATACACCAACTTTAAAATACGAATTATTTTAAAATTTTGCAACCAAAAGTATGCCCTAAAGTAACATCTAGACTAAAGGTAAAATACGACGGACCTTCATATCCGGCAAAAAAAAACTGTCGGGCGTGTTCTCACCGATTTTCGGCGTGAATACTAATTCTATTAAGGTAAACCTTCATACTCACAGACATATCTATTTTAATACTAGCACAATCCGACTGGCGTCAAAGTTTTCCAATCCAATCGGGAGGTTGATATCGGTCAGTCTGACCATTACATGCTAATGGTTCTTTTATATTTTAACATCCGGACACATGACTGCACTATTTACGCGTCCCTTACCCTTCCGATTATTGCAGAACAGCTTGGGAGATCTTTATTTTAATGCATTCGTTAACACACCCTAAAACAATTTCTTTCTGTTGAAAGCCTTCGAACTGTCTCATATTGTAGAAAATACCAAAAATATACTAACGAACATTTTTTTTTAATTTTAACTGTAACACCCGTCTAACACAAAATTAAAGTTCCCCAGATGCTTGTTAATGTATTAGGGTTGCTTTATGAAGCATATATTACACTCTACACGATTTTCTCCTTCCTTACACAGTTTTACTTCGTACAAATCTGCGATCAAAAATGTAATATAAACATATGCAACCGTTTCGCTTGTTATTATTCTCTACAACCATACAAATTGGGTTACACGTAACTCGTCACCGTTTTAGGTGCTTTTTACTAGAGCTTAAATGAAGCTTGCTCCGAAAGTATAATCTAAAAGTGGTTCAACAGCAAAGTTAGATTTAAGAAAAAAACTCCTGAAATCAGTGCTATAGACGTGCAATAAGAGTTATTTCGCCAAAAAAATATATATATGTCGCCTTACCTCAATTGCATTATAGGGTGGCTGTTTGGTATTCACCTCGTGTCAACTGTACAAGACAGCCACCATGATAAAAAAACAAAACACGAAGAGTCCAGTGCGCATGGTAGCTTTAAGTTAAATTATCGCCCAATCACTTGATTTCCCAGCATACTAGGGAAGCACGTCGTAGACGGGAATTGAGAACACAAACATTTATAGTCTAGGTTTTAAGCGCTGCTCACTACGTTATTAGAGCAAGACATTGTTTTCTAGAAATATCAATAACTCACTTGTAGACATGTGATATTCTGACCGTGTTTATCCTTTCGTGTATCCTGATAAATAAGATCTTTCAAAGCGCGTAAAACTTCCTTTAAATGGCGTTAAATGTTCTATAGTTCAGTGTCAAAAAACAAATCAGCATTTTGTGACACCCATAAAACATTTTTGATGTCGTGCCTAGGTTGTTGTATTTACTACTCACAAAACGTTTATACTAGAAACGTTGAATCTAGTTGATCAAGTGTGCGTATGTCCCACGTTCAAATGCCTTATTCTCAGGATTTAATTCAGAACGGGAGTATTAAAACTCACTCAAAGACACAAAAAAGCATGGACCAAATTATTGACTGAATGGAGTAGGAAGCCCAGCAGGCGCCTGACTTCCGAGACAAGCATCGAACTTCCGGTGGCTTCACTTGTGCCAGGCTGGGAGAACAGCTATGTGCCATCTAGCCCCCTATAGTGGAGATCAGTGTCTGGAACTCAGCGGGTGTGCTGTGTTTTGCCATCCCCAGCGCGTAGCTACGACCAATATTGGTGGCACATAATCGACTCCAGATCACGTGGCCACTTGTTCTGGCTGCGAGCTGAGGAGGTGAACGCTGCTCGTTTTTCTTAAATTTTTTCCTGCGATTTTTTTTTAGTTTTGTACGAAACGAAAGCGTGTTTCATAGGTCAATAACGTGAGGGATTCGTCCTAAGCGGCATCCCCGCAAAATACAAGACTCGTTGGTAGACCTTTTTAACTGGCCCATTCTAATTAGAGATGTTTTGCCCGTCGTCGAAATATGCCATATCTGTTGCTAGCATTCAGACAACGAAATTTCGCTACGACATCATGAAACCTCCTTGACAACGAAGGCGCGCTTATTTTTAGCTTAATATAAATAAAATTACACAAAAATGTTCCCTTCTGTGAAAACCCTAAAGTCACCCAATTTCTTTCACAAATCCGACAATCACGCTTTTTGTCCAAGCATAATCAACAATGAGTAAAGTATTATAAAAATGTGAATAACAATTCCTTTCTTTTTATGTTTGTTAGCCACGCACAACTGATCAATATTCTCGCCTCTGAGGTACATTCTAGATCATGTACATCAGTAAAATGGGATCAAAAAGAAGCTTTAGCAATCAGTGCTCTACTCGTTTGAATATGAAATAGTAGTCGCCTTACAAGTGTTGCATTAAGTGGTGACTTTTCATCATTTGCTTCATGCGAGCTGAAGATGGCCCCCGCCAGAATAAAACAAAAAGCGAAGAGTCCAGTGATCATGGTAGCTTTCGAAGAGCTGTCGTTGTGTCGAGTCGACTCTCAAGTATACTGGGTAAGTATACCGTAGACAAGCATGAAGCGCAACGACTTCTATATCCTAGGTTTTGAGTGCTGTCAGGCAGGTTCTCAGAGTGACACATCGTTTTCTAGAAATGGAAACAATTCACTTGTAGACTTACCATTTTATTTCTGTGTTTATTGCTTCGAGTATCTTTATGTATAGGATCTTGCAAAGTGTAAGATATATCTTAACGCCATTCGTTTTCCATTTCCGTCGAAAGGCCACAGCTGTCATTTCGTAAAAGTCATTCGTTTTTATGCTTATAATGTTATGCGTAGGCACGACGCGTGTACTAAAAGTTCATTTCGGGAAAATACGCACGAGTGCCGCAATTTCGCGAATGTCCTTTCTCTAAACCTCCACAAGACATGTTTGACTTTTTTCTTTCATTTTTGTACGCAAGAAAGGCCAGCAATATACCATTTTATGTTTGTTTTAACCTACTACGATTCAACCATATATTTTCTGCCTTCCATCTGGCAGATAAACATTTAAAGAACATCTAAAAGTGAAGAGTATTGCGTGCACCATCCCCCTCATTTACGGCGTGGGATGCCTGACCCCTAGACCCCCCTACCAGAAACTGCTTCAAGAGTTCCCAACCTTAACTCGCCCGAACAATTTTCAGCGCCCTGTTATACACAACATCACTAACCATATCATAACAACCGGACCACCCACTCGTGCCCGTGCTCGACGGCTAGCTCCAGACCGCCTGAAAACAGCTCGCAAAGGGTTCGACCATATGCTCAACGTGGGAATCATCCGACCATCTGCTATTCTTTGGGCGTCACCGCTCCACACGGTGCCTATAAAAGCTCCCGGAGATTGGAGGCGTGTGGGGACTACCGGGCTCTGAACATCGCCACCGTTCCTGACCGATAGCCCCTACCATACATAGCGGACTTCACGATTTCTTTACAAGACGCTACAATAATCTCAAAAATCGACTTGGTGAAAGCCTATCATCAAATACCCGTCGAGCCATCTGACATCCTAAAGACGGCAATGATCACTCCCTTTTGCTTGTACGAATATCTACAGAAGCTCTTTGGTCTCCGCAACGCTTCTCAGACATTTAAACGTTTTGTCAACAATATTACACAAGGACTTACATTTGGCTATGCCTATGTAGATAACCTACCTGTTTCCCGCGGCACTGCAGAGCAACATCTGGAACATATCCGGCTGCTCTTTGAACGTGTGAAAAAATACGGCTTGATAATTAATAAGTCAAAATGTGAGTTCGGGCTTTCTCAACTTCATTTCCTCGGCCACCGCGTGGATCAACATGGGTTACGACTTCTTCCGGAAAAGGTCGAGGTTGTTCAAAACTTCCCACAGCCGTGAACAGTTCGGCAACTTCGGGAAGTTCTGGAATTAATCAACTTTTACTGAAGTATTATTAAAAAATGCTGAAATGAATTATACGGCGCAGGCGAGCTGGTCTACGTTCATGATTTAAGACAACCCTGAGACTGGCGAAAACGAGAGAAGGACAAACACGACGAAACCTCAAAACACAGCTGCGAATATATTTTTCCGACTCTTCTTTTTTTATAAAACTCCTCCACCATCAGTAGAACTTCCTATTGTCAACCCTACAATACAAGTCAAATAGGCAAGACCCAACAACCCTGATTCGAAGAACCGAACCAAAACCGAACGAACTTCCACACGAATAAAATAATAGAACATCCACCTTCACACCCGACACTCGCCGAAAGGCAACCCCAACACACCGATTGAAAAAGAAAAAAAAAAATGAGTCGGAAAATTAAATTCGCAGCTCAGTTTTGAGATTTCATCGTGTTTTTCCTTCTTGTTTTCCCCAGTCTCAGGGTTGTCTTAAAGTATGATTCCAAATTGCGCCTCCACCCTTCTGCCGCTTACTAAGCTTCTCAAAGGCGTGAAGCAGAACTCCGCATCACTCACATGGACGGACACGGCCTCCCGTGCGTTTTCTTGCATAAAATGTGACCTGGCAAGCAGTACTCTTCTCACCAACCCAAACAAAATGCGCCCATGAACATTGTGGCGAACTGTGATCGGACATTTCAACGATGTGCAAGAAAGAAGAAGACGACGGGATTCGGAAAGAAAAGAAGCACGAGACAACAGGGAAAGAAAAAGAAGAAGTGGTGGCTGGAACAACGAGGACGAAAGCGGACTGGGGTTCGACTTCCTGGGAGCCGTCGACGCTGGCAGAAACGACTGAACGTAGCTGCGAGGGACGCCCAGGCGCTTCCGACGTCGCCATTGGTGCCGTTCTGCAACAATACCTTCACAGTGCATGGCAAGCAGTCGCTTTATTTTCGAGAAAACTCACCCCGAGAGAGGGCCGATACAGCATGTTTGGCCGCGAGCTCCTCGCAATCCACCAAGCCATTACACACTTTCGTAATTGTTTAGATGGTCGACATTTTTTGTGCTCACCGACCACAAGCCACTAACGTACGCTATCAGGTCTGCCTGTGACAAATTCGCTCCTCGAGAGATACGACAGATGGCGTACATCTCTGAGTACACCACACATATGCGCCACGTAAAGGGTACAAACAGCGGTCGCGCTGACACGCTCTCGCGTGTCGTGACATCTCCCTGCTCCTCCATCATACCAGCGAGCATCGATTTCCAAGCGATGGCGTTGGCTCAGCAGGAAGACACTGAACTTCTGAAACTCAGCACTTTACATCATCGGCTCGACTTCAAGTCAGTTTTACTCCCGACGTGTGACGTTCCTATTATTTGTGACTGCTCATCACAAGTGCCACGGTCCTTCTTGCCACTTGCCTTTCCGAGGTCAGGCCTTCAAATCGCTCCATTCACTGGCACATCCTGAATTCGAGCTACCCAACGTCTAATAACCCAGCAGTTTGTTTGGCCAGGAATAATTAAAGAAGTTTGGAATTGGGCGCGCACATGCATCAAATGTCAAAAGGCAAAAGTTCATCGACACACATTAGCACCTACGATGTAATTTACACTCCCGGCTGCTCGTTTCGATGCTACCGATAAAAACCTCGTGGGCTTTCTTCCACCATCTGACGAAAAGAAATACACATTGACATCCATTGATAGATACGCTCGCTGGCCGGAAGTGCTGCCTATCCCGCGGACGTCACAGGCCAAACGGTTGCAAATACGTTCGTGTCTATTTGGGTAGCCCGCTTTGGAGTTCCGTCATCTATCACAACCGATAGGGACAGAAAATTAGAATCTTCTCTGTTCTGTGAACTTGTGACACTTCTCGGAACTACCCGAATACGTACGACAGCCTATCATCCCAGCAGCAACGAATCGTCGAACGTTTTCACCTTACACTAAAGGCGTCGCTCAAAGCTCATAAGGATCGCACCCACTGGAGCACCATACTTCCAATGGTGCTACTCAGTCTCCGTGCCACACACAAGTCAGATATCGATTGTACGCCCGCAGAGCTTGTGTATGGGGGACTGCTTCGTCTCCCGGGAGAGCTCTTCAACTCTAATCTCAAGCCTTCAGAATATGTTCCTGCCAACTATGCGACCCAACGTCGAGCCTTCATGCCTGCAATTAGGTCGGTGCCCCTACGGTCGCAACAGCATCATGCCCCTTATATTCCTAACGACCTTATGACCTCCAGCTACGTATTTGTTCGTCGTGACACAGTGAGAAAGCAATTGGAATGCCCGTATGATGGCCCTTTCCGCGTCATGGACCGTCATGCCAAGTACTTTCGTCTCCATATCAATGGACGCAATGAAACCATCTCCGTGGATCGCCTTAAGCCTGCGTTCATCGACAAGAGCCAGTGTGCATACATCAATACTGCGGACTGTTTGCCACGGTCAAAACGACGACACTCTCACCGTCCCAGCCAGCCTCATCTCCTCAAGCACATTATTTCATGCCGAACACCTGCAGTTCAACATCCTCTACGTTCGACCTGCTAACCTACGCAATAGAAAATGGAATCATCTACCACTCTCGCGCCTCGTAAAACAAAACTTCACCACAGCCGCTCATCTGTCACATGACACCCAACCGCAAGTGAATCCTACTCCGGACTTCCTTGCTAGGGGGGAGGGGGGGCCTTGTAGCCGGTGGCCTGACCGGTCCCAGCAAAAGACGAGGAAGAGGAGACACGAAACAAAGGAATGTTCGAGACCGAAGACCAGCATACCGGTGTTCGGGGATTTCGGGAGTTTTTTTTTTTTATTTACATAGCTCTTTGTATATAGTTGTCGGCTGTTAATAAATTGAAGGAACCTCCGGTTCCTTCCCCTTAAATCAATAGAGGCAGACCATGTCCATCACTGAGAGTATGGGAGGCTTCAATAGTGGCCTAAATATTTAACCTTCAAACATTACAATGTGCTCTCGTATTTGTTTTCTTTTTGAAACTCTGCAAAGAAGAACAGCTATTTATAAAATTTGAAACTGCTGAAAACTTTAAAAATTCCGAAATAAAAAAGCTCAACTTCTGTGACCCGTAACTGCAAGAACTTTCGACAGTCCCATTGAAGAACTAGTGTATAGGAGTCTATTTAGAGTGTGCTCAACTGCACACGTTTGTCCTCAATTGAAATGCACATTTAGGCGTTGATCACGCGTTGCTGTTGCCCTCTTGGTGCTATTTTGTCTGGAAAACAACGGGACACATGAATCTATCAAATCAATTAAATGGTGCCGATGATTCCGCCTGAAATGTTTAATCGATGCCCAGCACTGAATAATTGTGTATCCAGACTTGAACCTAAACTTCAGTGTCTCTACAACCAAAAGCGTCTTAATGGGGCCCTGCAAATCTATTTAAGCCTCTGCCTTTTTTTTTTTTTTTTTTTTGCTGTTTCCACATTTTTTGTGGTCAGGACAACCCAGCGGGCATGGAGAGAGCCACTAAATATCGGTGCTTCATATGTTAATCGGACGACGCGGAAACCTCCACCTCCTAGGGGGACGCCCCATGCATGTGCCGAAAGCGCGCCCGTGAAGTCGTTTTTTTTTTTTCAGTCGAAATACAAAATAGAAGGGGCGCGAACCGTTTCAATTATGTATGATTGTAGTTTCTGTTCGGTATTCTAGATGAGAAAAA